GCGCCCCCCCCCCCCCCCCCCCCCCCCCCCCCCCCCCCGCCTGAGCCCCGCCGAGCGGGGGCTCTGGAGGAGCTTTTGTGCGCGAAGCCTGCGCCTCTGGGCTGGCTGGGCGGCTGGGTCACCGCGTCGAGCACCTTCGTCGCCGCTACCAGCGCCTGCTACCGCGCTGCCCTCCTCCGCGGGGACCTCGACCTCCTCCTCCCTGCTGCCCGGGATGTTGCTGAGGTCAGCCTCCTCGAGTTCTTCGTCGCCGCTGTCGCGTTCTGCTGCCGCACGCGCTGATGCCCCGCTGCGCGCCAGCCGACGAAGCTGGGAGACTTGTTGTTCCCATTGCTGCGCGCGCCCAGTGTTGAGCATGCCAGAAGCCTGGCCCACAGCTTCCAAGAGGGCTGCGGCGCGTTCGCCCTCGCTGAGCAAGGCTGCTGGGGACCGAGGTGCTGCTGCAGTGGCGCCCATCCCCGACGCTCCTTCTCCGAGTGAACCTTCACGCTCACGTTTGTGTTTAGCCAAGAGGTTGTCGATGAGCGCCTGGGGCTCCTTCTCCGCAGCCTTGCTCTGCTCGCGTTTGCCCTCCAGCTCGAACTTCTGCGCCGCGAAGCCCGTGATCTCCCGCGTGGCGTCCTCGATCTTCCTGGCCAGCGCCTCCGAGGTGCTCTGCCAGTTCCGCCGCTTGCGTTCGAGCTCGCTGAGCTGCGCGGACGTGGGCTTATCCTCGGCGAGCTCGCGTTCCAGCTGCTGCGCATTCTTCCTCCTGCCAACCAGTATTTCATCCGTGCCCTCAAATCCTTCGAGTTTTCTGATTTCACTCCGTAACTTCTCAAAGCGAAAGCGCCGTACCCTCTCGTCCTTCGGGGCGGACTGGGCTGCAGCTGCTGCGCCTCCATCACTTCCTGCATATGCGAGATAATCTCCTTCGAGCTTTTTGACCTTCCGCCGCAACTGGTTGAGCTCGTGTCGTCCTTTGGCGTCCAGATGAGACATGCCACTCCACCACGAGCTCGCGCCGGATCCTTGCTCCCACCAATCAAAGCCGCAGCTGCGACAGACGCGCCTGGTGCCCCAGTTTTTCTTGGCACCGCATTTGGGACAATCCCAGGCTTTGGGTTGCCTGCCTCCACCGCTGCTGCTGCCCCCCACTCCGCCTGGCTGACTACCTCCTCGTCCACCTCTGCCGCCTTTGCCGCCACCGCCACGCGCGGCTCCCCAAGCACCGCCACCACGTCCTGCCATTGGTCGAGCCCGCCGACGCTGGGCTCCCAATCGGGCCACTGGGGCCGGGAGTTGGGGAGGAAATGGATGTGAAAGCACTGTGGCCGCGAAGGCCTCGCTGAAAGCTTGGTAGATTTGGAATCTGACCCAAGAAGTGACGCGACGGCTAGAGCCAGCCACATGGGACCAGACATCTGCCCTGATCGCATCATCTTGAGCCAAAATGGCTACGGATGATGATGATGATGATGTTGACGATGATGATGATGATGATGATGATGATGATGATGATGATGATGATGATGATGATGATGATGATGATGATGATGATGATGATGATGTTGATGATGATGATGATGTTGACGATGATGATGATGATGATGATGATGATGGTGATGGTGATGATAATGATGATGATAATGATGATGATGTGATGATGATGATGATGATGATGATGATGAAGAAGATGATGATGACGATGATGATGATGAGGAGGAGGATGAGGAGGAGGAGGGGAGGGGAAGAGGGGGAGGAGGAGGAGGAGGGGGAGGAGGAGGGGGGGGGAGGAGGAGGAGGAGAAGGAGGAGGAGGACGAGGAGGAGGAGAAGGAGGACGGGGAGGAGGAGGAGGGGGAGGAGGAGGGGGAGGAGGAGCAGGAGGGGGAGGAGGATAGCAGAGCATGGCAGGCCAGCATGATGCACTCTCGAGGCCGGCTCGGCGGCCCGCCGAGGCCTCGCCGCGCCGCCGCCCTTGGCGCCTCGTGGCCACCCCGCTGCCGCCGCACAGCGTACCCCACGCAGATTTTAAAGGGCCCCGGGACATCAGAAAAGGCGCCATGAGATCGGGGGAGATATCATGGCCCACGCCATATCCACTCCCCCCTAGTCATCACCCCCCTCTTTCCGCCCCCGCCTCCTCTGCCGAGATCCCCGCAGGCCCACCCACCCCGGGCGGCGGCTGTGGAGATGAAAACCCCCGCCTCGGAGAGAGAGGACGACCATCGCTGGCGGGAAGGCGCTCGGCGGCTGCCTGGTCGCTGTGGCGCCGATGAGCGTGCTGAAGGGCCACGAGAATAGTTACCAGCCTCGAACGTGTCCCTATCCCTAAGATTGACACGCCAAAAGGCGATGACCGTCTTAGGGATGCGCCCTCAACAAAAAATAAGGGAATCCCTAAGATTGGCATCGTAATGAGGAGGTGCCCAGCATAGGGATAGGGAAATGTTCCAGGCTGGTAGAATAGGGGAACAAACAGTCACACAAACATAACAAAAATCTGAGGTCCGCGCGGATGTTTCTCGGATCGGCGCTGGACCCCCCCTTCCTGGCGCGCGGAGCGCGCCAAAGGGCGGCGCCGGAGGCGCCGCCGCCAGGGGGGGGCCCAGCGCGGATCCGAGAAATCCGCACAGAGCGCCAAAAACTTCATGTTTACACAGCTTGTTTTTCTTCGATTGTCTCTGTGGCGCGAATGATTGGCGGCGAGCGAAGGGGGGAAATGAGAAGGAGAAGGCCTTCTCAGAAGGCGGCGGGACTTCCCAGAAGCTCCCGCGCTTTCTGAGAAGTTTTTGTTCCGTCGTCGGGAAGGCTTGGAAAACTTCTCAGAAGGCCGGGGGACTTCCGAGCCTTGTGAGAAGGCCTCCTCCTTCTCACTTCCCCCCCTCGCTCGCCACCGATCCTGGGACCCGGGATCGCTTTGTGTGCACCTTGGCGAGGAGGAGGAGGAGGAGGAGGAGGAGGAGGAGGAGGAGGAGGAGGTGGAGGTGGAGGTGGAGGTGGTGGAGGAGGAGGAGGAGGAGGAGGATGAGGAGGAGGGCCACGAGAGCAAGCTCGGCCTCCTGGCTTGGAAGAGCCGACGGCTGCCCCGGGGCGGCGGAGGCACGGGCACTGGCCGAGGGCTCCTCTCGGACGGGCTCGGCCCACGTGGGCCGAGATGAGCAGAGCGACGTCCTGGGCCTCGAGCAGGGCGAGCCGGCATCGAAGGGGAACGTTAGGCATTACAGTCGGGGCGTTGACCTAAGGAACCCTAAATAAGGAACGAGGCCCCTTTTTTTCCATAAAAACTTCGATTTCCAATCGAAAACATAAGGAAAACCTGAGGCAAGCTGTGAAACACTTGAGGAACGCGGAGCCCCTCCCCAACGAAAAGGGTTCCTTCTTCAGGGCCCCGACTGTAGGACGCCTCGGGCTTCCCCTTCAGGGCCAGCAACACCAGAAAGCCTGCACAATCGAGTCGACTCGGAACGTGCATCGGGTCGGGCTGCACCGGCACGGAGTCGGAATCGGCTCGGATGCGCCGGTGCACACAGAAGCGACCCATAAGCATCGGAACGCATCGAATCGTCAGAATTTCGGAATCGAATCGGATGGGTCTGGCCGGAACCGGAATCGGTGTTGAATCGGATCGAACGGATCGAAATGGACCCTGCTCAAGTACCCCGAGAAGGCCATCGAGACCACCAAGGGCGTCCTGACCACGAACGCTACACCGCAGTGTACGACGCGATGAACGTTAGGAAGAGTACTGGACTGGGCCTGCGAGACAAACGCACTACGACCATGGCACTGAGGATGAGAGAACTCCGCGAAAAGAACGAGACGGAACTACGATGGGTGAATTGCGCCGCCCAGCTGGCGGGCGGTGTGACGAAGACGGGGGCTGCCTAGATACTTGTGCGCTTCCAGAGAACCGACCAGCGTTCCAACTTGTCTGGGACCTGATGCGCCACTCTGCCCACTTCCGTGTCGTCCAAGGTGTTGGGCGCAGGAAGGATGTCCGCGACAACGGTCACGAGAACCTTGCTCGCCGCGAGACCGCCGCCTGTCTTGAGAAGTGGGTAGCTGCAGATTGTGTTTCAGTTTCTTTTGCGCACGCACCTGGCTTCAACAAATCGAGATTTGTTGTATTTTCCAGGGCAGTCCCCGTACGAATGGATAAACCATTGACTTGTATCTTGCGGCCTGCCACCTCGCACTTTTGCCTTCGGCAGCCTCTAGGCTCGAGTGCCCGGGTGGGCGACAAGAGGGATTCTTGCTAGCAGCACATCAGACAAGAGATCACGTCATCACACTTTCGCTCATTCCAAATATTTCTCGATATCAGATCCGCGATCCCACGCAATCTCATATTGGGGGCCCTTTGGGGCCTGCCTGGGGCCCCTGGGGGCCTCCTGGAGCTTCTGAGGCCTGCTGGGGGCCTGTTTGGGACTTGCTGGGATCATCTGGAGCGAGGGCTCGACATGTCAGCTCGGGTTCCCCCTCTGGGGGCCCTCTGGGGGCCCTCTGGGGGCCGCCTGGGGGGCCCACTTGGGGGCCTCTTGGGCCTCCTCGGGGCCCTCTCGAAGGCCTGGTGACCGCCTTGGGACGGTACACGGGGGGCCTGGAGCGTCGGAAGCCCGCAGAAGCGAGAATTCCACGATCCTGCATGAGCTCCAGGGCCGCCTCGGGGCCCTGTTGGGCCGTCTGTGCCTCAATTTGGCGAGCGCCCTCGGGCCCTCGTGGACCGTCCCGGGGCCCTCCTGGGCCCTCTTGGACCGCCATGGGCCGACCGGGCCGACTTTGCAGTTTGGCCTGGGCCAGAAGAACATCCCTCAAGAACACGAGACCCTCCCTCGGCCAAAACGAACAGACCATCCAAGGGCACCCTCCCCAGGACGCGCAAGAGCCTCCAACAAGCACGAAGGACATCAGGGTACCCTCCCCGGACCGACCTCGATCATATACCTCCCTCGGTCCGACTGAAAGGCACTTGATCGCCCAGCCATCCCGAGCGCGGTGCGCCCCGCATCAGAATACACTGATGACGTTCGGCTCCAACTTCGCGTTCCGCATGTCGCTAAGCAAAATCAAAGCCTGCTGCCATTGCTCGCAGACCGCACATGCACTGATCCCAGCGCTGTAGAGGATGACGTCGGGCTCCAACGTCGCATCCTTCATCTCGCCTAGCAGCGACAGAGCATGCTGCCATTGACCGCATTTCTCGCACGCGCTGACCCCGATGCTGTAGCCCTGGACATCCACTTCCAAGCGAGCCTCCCGCATATCGACAAACAGTGATTGAGCTTGCTGCCACTGCCCTCCATTCCCGCACGCACTGATCCCAGCGCTGTAGGTTAAGACCGTGGGCGCCAGCCTCGCGCTCCGCATGTCGTCCAGCAGTGAGAGGGCGTGCTGCCACTGTTCGCCTTTCCCGCACGCGCTGATCCCAGCGCTGTAGAGGATGACGTCGGGCTCCAACGTCGCATCCTTCATCTCGCCTAGCAGCGACAGAGCATGCTGCCATTGACCGCATTTCTCGCACGCGCTGACCCCGATGCTATAGCCCTGGACATCAATTTCCAAGCGAGCCTCCCGCATATCGACGATCAGTGATTGAGCTTGCTGCCACTGTCCTCCATTCCCGCACGCACTGATCCCAGCGCTGTAGGTTAAGACCGTGGGCGCCAGCCTCGCGCTCCGCATGTCGTCCAACAGCGAGAGGGCATGCCGCCACTGTCCGCCTTTCTTGCAAGCGCTGATCCCAGCACTGTAGCTGATAACATCAGGCTCCAACTCCGCTTCACCCATGACACTGAGAAGAGACAGCGCCTGTTGCCAATGCTTGCCTTGCCCGCATGCGGTGACAACCGTGGTGTAGTGGCCACGGCCCACTTTCGCACGTGCGTGGGACGCCTCGCGCAACAATTGCAGCGCGGCTTCCCAATACCCTGTCCTCTTATACTGGTTGATTGCCACGTCGATGGAAACAACACCTGGTCGAGACCCGCGTATGATGCCTGGCATCTGGGAAAAAACGCGTGCGGCAACCAATCCATCAGCACGGGCATCTTAGCTCTGGAGGTAGCGCCAGATATGCTTGCCCAAGCCGAAAATGATGTCAGCCCAAATGACTATGTGTAGCAATAGCCGTTCAGAAGAAACATGCATGAAGCTACAGAAGTTGAGTGACAGTACGCGAGTGTAGGTTCTTAGTACAAACGTAATCAAGGAACACAAGCATAAACCTAATCCGAATCGTGTATGTGCGAATGTGCATCTGCACAACTAGCCGTGGACGTAGACGTAAAATCTGGAGCACAAGAGCAGAGGTAGAAGAAACATCACACAAAAAACATAAGTATCAGTGCGCTACAAGACAGACGTATACGTAAAAATCCACACGCATCCTAAGGACGCCTGGGCAACTGAACATACACTGGTACTACGCCCGCCCGTGCACGATCGCATACTGCACTCGGATCCGCTAACGTACCAAGTCAAAGCGTGGCTCACATAGGGAGACAGAGCACGCCGACGAATAGAAGATCTACGCAAGCAATCCAAATGCCGAGCAGCCTGACGGCCCGTTCAGCCAGCCCATCCCACGCCCACCAGAAACAACCTCCGACGCTGTATCCACAACCCCACGCGACGAGGGGAAGAACATCTACACTCCAAGTTGTGTAAGCATCCCCTCGATGCCACCAGGCCCGACTGAGAGGCAACTCTAGGGGGGGACCAGCTCACGGGTGGAAACATCAAGCTTGAATCGGCGATACATCGCCGACAGATCGGCGATCGACTCTCGATAGCGGATCCGCAGCTTCCTGGGCAGGGTGGGCTATCGGGCCTCTGTCGGCGATCAATAAACGATCGGAGGTCGATGCACATCTCCCCTGAACCCATCCCCACCTAATCTTGCCCCTGACCAACGGCCCGTGCCGCTACCACACACCCACCACGCCCACCGAGACCACCTCACGCCCGACGCCGGATGACTCCCCCGGTCCCACCCACCCCCTGCGTCAGCAGGCACATCTGGGGAGGCCTCCGCGGGCGCGACGACAGACCTATTTAGAACTGCGACTGAGCCCGTTTAGGCCAGACGACGCCCAAGATTGAACTGGACCGAGCCCGATTAGACGGACTCTGCTAGATTTGGCCAGATTCGAGTTGAGACTCCCACGAGCTGCGGCAGAACACATACCTCGTCGTAGACATTGCGTTTCTGAGACAAGGCTTTCCTGAGGAACCTGGGCCGGCCTTCTCATCACGTCCGAAGCACACGCTGGCTTGACCTCGTCCATGGTCAATGGCTCAGGAGCTGGGCCAGCCTCCGTGAACCTGCTGAGACATGCTGGCCGAAGCCGCGGAGGGAAGGCCTCGGAAACATCGGCACCACTGTGTTTGCTCGACCGTCCAGATTGCGACCCGTCCTTGCCGTGACGACGCCGGCCCTGGTCTCTGACACCGCGCGCACCGCTCCACCTTGAAAGACTAAACAATCGGCCCCACTCGACGCCAAAATCTCGCACCGTGGGCTACTGTTTGTGGGCCCGCGACGGGCCTCCAGTGTAGAGGCCTTCTAGATGGGGCCGGAGTAGATGGGGTCGGAAGATCGCGCCGCATCGGCGATACGTCGGCGATGCATCGCCGATGCATCGGCGATGCACTGGCGATGCATCGGCGACGTCGGCGATGCACCGACGACGTCCGCGTGAAGCAAACCGGGCTCCGCATCGAGCCGCATCGGCGATGCATCGGCGATGCGGAGCGATCCTCCGACCCCATCTACTCCGACCCCATCTAAGAGGCCTAGACAGCGGGCGCTCGGCCAGGAGCTCCCGTGCCTGCGAGCCGCGCGTGGGCGCGGCGCGAACCTGCCGTGCGCTGCGGAGGGGGAACGTGAGGGGGGGGCCCTGCCTCGGGGGGGGGGGTAATTGAAGGGGCCCTGGGACACACAAATACATATACACACAAATAAACATATCCCCCATATTTTCCCATATTTTCTGAGATTTTGTCTTCCCCCCCACTTCCCACATTTTCCCATGTTTTCCCGGGGATCGTCAATTAATTGTGTCTGTGTGTGTTTTTTCCCTCTTGATAAACAGTCGACCCCACTCGACGCCAAAACCTCGCACCGTGGGCTCTTGCTCGCGGGCCCGCGACGGGCCTCCAGTGGGCGCTCGGCCAGGAGCCCCCGTGCCTGCCACGCCACGCGTGGGCGCGGCGCGAATCTGCCGTGCGCTGCGGAGGGGGGACGTGAGTTACCAGCCTCGAACGTATCCCTATCCCTGAGATTGACACGCCAATAGGCGAAGACAATCTCAGGGATGCGCCCTCAAAAAACGAGGGAATCCCTAAGATTGGCATCGTGATGAGGAGGTGCCCAGCATAATTAGGGATAGGGATATGTTCCAGGCTGGTAAGTGAGGGGGGGGGGGCCCTGCCTCGGGGGGAGGGGGGACATCGAGCAGAAAAATGTGGAAAATCACCGATGGATCGCCGATACAGTCAACGCGCCTAGTAAGGACGCGCGCCTTCATCTATGATACCCTTGCGTCCTTGCCTCTGTGGCCCGTCCTTTGCCGTTTTCACTGGTCGCCGCCGCCCAAAAAAATCCCAACTTCAGCCTCCAAGGGTCTGGCGTCCTTACCACGCGTCCTTATTATACGTTTTGACTGTAGCCGCCGATGGCGAAACCGAACGTTCCCGGGCGGGGTGGGGCTTTCGGGCCTCCATCGGCTGGCCGATCAAGGGGCGATCACGGGTCGGCCCCCCCCCCCAGACGCCAGACGATGGAACTTTCTCCACTCCGCGGCCTCCGAGCGCCCCGACAGCTTCCCCGGGGGGGAGGTCTGGCGTGCCGCATCCGTTTGGGATGGCCACGCGGCCGACGATGGCCCGCGAGGGCCGAAGTCGATCGCCGGAGACCTGGGTCTGAGCGCCCCTACAGTAGGGGCGTTGACCTAAGGAACCCTCAATAAGGAACGGGGCCCCTTTTTCCCATAAGTTCAACCTCGATTTCCGGTGGAAAACCTCAGGAAAACCCGAGGCAAACTTCGAAACAATCAAGGAACACCGAGCCCCTCCCCAACGAAAAGGGTTCCTTCTTCAGGGCCCCGACTGCAAAAGAACGGGCGGACAACGTATCCGTATCCACCGGCCTCGCGGCCTGGGCCTCCGGGCCGCGCTCCGCGCGTGGAGGCGGGGCGCGTCTTCGCGGAGGCCCCGCTCGCAGCGTACCCGCACATCCGCGGGATCGCGCCCCCGAGTCCAGACCGCGAGGGCACGGATATAGGTACGCTCGCCGCTCGCGGTGAAAGCCCCCCCACCCCGCCCCCAAGGGCCTCTGCCGCCAGGACGCGGCGGCGGCGCCAGCGCCCGCCGGCCACGGCGGAGGGCGCCCGCCGCCGCCGCCCCGACGGCAAGAGCCGCACAGGCCGAGGTCCCCCGCGACGGCCGACACGGCGGCCTGTCAAGGGGGGGAGGGCAGGGCCTCAGGGCCAAGGGGCGGAGGGGAAGACGGAGGAGCTGGAGGACTCAACCCTGCTTGGGCCCTGGCCGCTGGGACGAGGTCAGAGCTGAACCTCCCTCCGACTCCCCTCTGCCAAGGTCCGTGCATGGTAAGTTGCGTTCCTCCCCTCCCCTCCCTCTCACGGAAACCATCCTCGGCGGCGCCCATGGGGTGCCAAGGGCGTGAATTCATTCCGTGCGCGTTCGCGCGAGCGGCGCGGCACGGAACGGCCACGGAACGAAGTGGGATCGCTGCGTTGCGCTGCGGCCGGCAGGAGGAAGAGGACGAGGACATCCTCAACTCGGGGAGAATAAGACCTACGTTGGCCGGCTGGGGGTGTTATCTTTTAAGAAGTGAGGGCCGGCAACACTGTCGGCACGATCACGGCAGCCAGCCTCCACTTCCAACTGTCCAGACCGAAGGTGCCGTCACTTTGGCCTCCCGTGGATGTTTATGCCGACTACCCATCCTCAGGCCCCAATCCCTCAGGGACCCATCCTTGGACCGTCCGGAATTGGGAGAAACTGCTTCGACGTCCGGCGAAATTCGAAAAGCTCGCCTGCAGGGGTCCATAACGCATGTATCCCTGGCCATGTTTGCCACTGGAGGGACAAGCGCGAAGTCCTTGGATCGGCGCCGGGCCGCTGCTCACGCCAAAACTCCACGAACGGGCGGAGCGGGAGCAGGGGTAAAAGCACAGCCTCAGGAGGCCGAATATTTCATCCATGCCCTGCCCGCCCTGGCAGCCAGAGTGGACGCAAAAAGCAAGGGTATGGATCGAACGTCGCTCCCCAAAGGGAAAGACCCTTTAGATGTGCGTGTATACTCACGGCACAAGTCCAAGCCAAGAGCGAAGCACCTAAAGCCAAAAACGAGGCAGTTCTGAACTAAGGGCGAAGCTCTCGGAACCCAAGAAACACACGTCGATCATTACAGAAGTGCTCCGCGGACAATCGACGCCGATAACCAACGGGGGTGGGGGAATGCCCCGAAAGTAAGCATGCCTGAGCCTGAAGGAGAAGACCCTCAAGCGAAGCAGACATCATGCCATGCCCGCGGCAACAGACACCTCACCAGAGCTCCTGGCCTCCGGGGCCCGGTGTCATCCCTCGGGTCGGGCGCAAGGGGGGATAGCAAAGGGGGGGTTTGAGAATCAGCTCACGTAGCTGATTCTCCCGGCGCCACCCGGCGCCGGGAGGCGCCCATGTATCGAGGAATGGTCAGGGGGACGTAAGACCTGGGTACAGGGGATTCGGAAATCCCCGACGAGGTCGTCAAAAAAATGACGAGGCCGAGCCTGCATTTTGACGAGGCCTCCCGCTGCAGACATCCCACGAAACTCCTCCTCGTCAAAATCCGAGGCGCGGTCGTCAAAAAACGATGGCGAACCCGAGTCCTGGCAAACCCGGGTCTTACGCTCCCCCGAAATGGGCCCTATAGGGCCGAACGAAAGGGGGGGATATATCCCCCCCTTTCGTTCGGCCCGAATCCCTGGGCCGCCCCGCGGGGACGTCTCCCGGGGGCCCGGAGACCCGCCTCCCGGGGGCCGAGCACAAAGAAAGGCCCGTGGCGCGGCCTGCGCGGGCCGCCACAGGCGCCGCGGCTCGAGGAGACGGACGCAGCGCCGCCCCCTCGAGCCCTCCCTATCCTCCTTCATCCTGTCCGACAGATCCCCCGCGCACGCTTCTTCGCGGAAGCTCCTCCACCACGGGTCTGAGCAGCGGTGCGACTGGGTCAGGGCGTAGAGGAGCGTCGCCGAGCGCGGCAAATCCTCTGTCCAAAACATCTCGAGTACGCGGCCGACGTCGGCGGGCCACCTCCTTTTCCTCCCCCTGCTCCTCCTCCTCCTCCTCCTCCTCCTCCTCCTCCTCCTCCTCCTCCTCCTCCTCCTCCTCCCCCTCCTCCTCCTCCTCCTCCGTCCTGGGGCGCTGTTTGACCAGCATGCCGAGCAGAGCCCAGCCCTGGCGACGAGGGCTCCCCAGCACCCAGCGGGCTCGAGAAACCCTGAAGCAGAAGAAAGTTCGGTGGCACCTCGGGGGCGTCTCCCATACCATCTTGTCGGCTCTCGCGAGTCGACGCTAGCCCACGCTAAGTCGACGCTAAGCCGACGCTAATCGACGCTAATCGACGCTAAACCGACGCTAACAGACTCTAAATCGGCGCTATCGCACCGACTCCCAGACGCTAATCGACGCTAAAGGCAGAATTACGAGGGTATACAAGGCTCCCATGACTTGCTACCGAACAAAAGTGGCCACCTCTTGGGAGGGCAGCTTTTACAACTGGTGGCCTCCTGCTGGCCTTCCGCCAGCTTCCGCTGGCAGAGCTGCCCCCGATTTACTTCCGCGGACATTCGGGGGCGGCCAAGAGGGAGGCGTCCAAGAGAGGGGGGGGCCCAAGTCATGGCCCGCGGCATGTGCGCGGCCGGGGACGTATTGAAATAAGAAGAGGCGCCATGACATCTGTGGAAATACCATGGCCCTAATCATCACCCCCCCACCCTGGCCATCGCTCGGACGTCCATTCCCTGTGTTTTTTCCGGTTTCGTGCGTGGCTGCTTCACCAAATGATCAAGGATGCTCCTCGATGGTCCTCGCCGAAGGAAAAAGGCACACGTCCGAGCGATGCCAAGGAAGAGGCGCCATGACATCTGTGGAAATACCATGGCCCTCATCATCACCCCCCCACCTAGTCATCACCCCCCTCTTGGCCGCCTCCGGGACTTCCGCCGCCCTTCCCCCCGCCTCCCGTCGAGGAAGAGATGCTATAATCCCTTGGGTCCTCGAAGTTGGGGCTTCTTTCTGCAACGCGCGACCCTGGGAAGACCTCGGTCTGAGCAGCAACACGTGAATCCTGCCCCTGCAGGTCAGATTCGTGAGACGTCGGCTAGGGCTAAGAGTTCGAAGGACATCTGCAGCCAAGCGAAATCCGGCGGGGGTGTCCGATCCTCCAGCGTCGCGTGGACCCGCATGGGTAGGGTTCGCAAGTGTTAGAGGCACCAACACCAACTCAAGGGGCTGCCTCCGCCAGGGGAAGATGATCCTACATTGTTTCGGGAGCGGCCAAGAGGGGGGTGTCCAAGAGGGGAGGGTGCAAATCATGACCGGCGGCATGTGCGCGGCCCAGCGGGGGGGGCCAGGGACGCAATGAAATAAGAAGAGGCGCCATGAAATCTGGGGAAATACCATGGCCCCCGCCATGATATCCCCCCCCCTAGTCATCACCCCCCTCTTTTCCGCCCCCGATTGCTGCGTCGGCCGTAATATTTCGGCCACCCGGGAAGCCCGAAGATTGCCGCCACCACCGGGGTCGGGACCGCCTTCCCTCGGTGGAGGCACACCGCCGCTATTGGTGTTGGTGTCAGCCTCGGGGCCTCCGAAATTGGTACCAAATCTATGTTGCTCCCATCCGACTGAAGGACCACATCCCAGAAATAATGTCGAGCGCCCGGAAAAGTGTCGAAAGAGTGTCGAAAGAGTGTCTCCCAGGGCCCGACATGTGAAAACCCTCGAGCTTCGGTACTCTTCTGGTGCTCGGAATTCCTTCTAGCGATCACGGCTAAGGCAGGCTGCACCATCAGAATACCAGATCGACCCTCGGCCCCTCGAGGCCTGTCGCCGACGCAGCCGCGCCCGCCGAGCGGCGGGCGCGCGCGCGGAGCGCGCGCGGCGGGAGCGCCCGGAGCGCCGCCGGCGAGCGCGAGCGGCATCCCGCGGGGCGTTCGGCGCGGCGGCGCCGAGGAGCGGGGCTTGCCGGGGGGGTCCCTGGCCCCGGGTGGGCGGCGCAAGCGCACGGGTCGTGCACGAGATGGCATGCAGCAAGGGGCCCGGCCACGGGGAAGCTGCCACAGGTGGAGCCCCACCCGGAGCCCCCAGGGCCTCCCTCGACTGTCGATGCGGGAGCGCCACGCCTGCCATGGCAAGGCCATCGACACCCGAGCAGCCCAGGGCACCCTGGAGGCAGGCAGGGTGCTGCTTGGCGTGGGCCTCCACGGCAGCAACCCCACGCCGCGGCTTACGCGGCCCGCCAGCGCGGCACACCGAGTGGACAACGCGCGGCCTTGCGCGGGCAACCTGCGCGCGGATGTCGGCGCAGTTGCACCAAGACGTGTTCTTCCCCCGGGAGGCGGCTTCAGGGAAAACCGAAACCCATATAGATTCCTTGACGCGCTGGAACGTGTTTGCTTCCCCGTTTGCAAAATCGGCGTTTACTTTTTCCGTGTGTGGGTCAATGTTGGTCCGTCTGGGGATTCTCGTTCGCGCCGTTTCCGGTTCGACTCCGCTTTGTACTGCGGCTTGTCGTTTGTTCTGCACTGCTGCGCTTCCAGGTGCTGGCCGAAAAACGAACAGTTGAGAACGCCCGCCCAAAAAACGCCCCCAGCGTTTGCAACATCAACTAGGTCCCTGACCTCAGGTGCCCCCAGCACCTCGCTCCACGTCGGAGCCCCCGGGGCCTCTGCGCCTTGTGGGGGGCGCCCAGGAGGCCGCGGGCGCGGCCTCCCTGGAAGTCCTGGGTGCAACTGGGCGACGAAAATGAACGAGTCTCACGCACGATGACATGGCGACCCTGGGCGGTTGCTTGCGCGGCCGCCGGCGCGGCACGCTGCACTGGGAACGAAGGCGCTCACGCGCGACCTGACGCGGTCGAATTGCGCGCCAGTGTCCGTGAAGACGACGCCGCTTTTCTTGCGTCGCTCACCTTGGGGACGCACCTGGCAACCCCTGGAGGGACGCTGCTGCCCTGCCGCGGCAAGGAGGGGGGGAGCGCCTCGCGCGACGCCCCGCGCAGGCCTGCTGTCTTGGGCCATAGCGGCCGAGCAGTTGGCAATGCCGCACCCACCGTAGAGGGGCAACCATCGGGGGGGGGACCCGCCCAGGGGGGGGAAGCATCGGGCTTGAATCGACGATACACCGAAGATAGGTCGGCGACAGGCCCACGACCACGATTCTGCACGCTTCTGGGCGAGGACGGGCTGTCGGGACTCGGCGATGCATGGGCGATTGGGTGTCGATGCGTCCCCCCTCAGTCTACCCCCCCCCTTAACCTTGCCCCCGAATAGGCCTGAGGACAAGGGTAAAGAAACAGGACGCAGGGAAGCGCCGAAAGTGGACTGGGTCTCCGCGCACCCCCAGAGGACAGAGGAGAGGGCAGACCACCCGCTCCCCGAAACAGGAAGGCGCCCAACGTCTGCGGGAGTCTCGGAATCCCAGAACACCTAATTATTCTCAACGACCGACGGGCACACCCTGTTGGCCCCTCTCGGGCATCCAGGCATCTCCCGGGGCCCCATGGCCTCTGGCGATCCCTTGGCGTGAATGGTGTTCGGGCACGGCGTACGACCGTCAGGACGCAGCAGTGACGTTCACTCGCGGTGTTGAAGTCCCAGGAATGGGTTCCTGGCATAGTCCAGGACTGTCAGCACGCAACAGTGACGTCGATCCCCGGCGCTACAGTCCCAGGAATGATGTTTTGGCGACTTGGAGCCTAGCGCGTGAAAGATTTAGAGCGGTTCGTCTTCCAACCGTTATATTCCCCTTTTGGGAGAGGTTGATCCCTCCATCTAACCCGACCTGGACGGGGGAGGTCTCGACCGATTGAAGCGTCCAAGAATACCTCGGCGAGAAGGTACACATCGCTGATGTTACACTGGTTTTGAATACTCCCCCTCCTTTGATCGATCTCCTCCAAGTGCTCCCAAGGCACCCAAGATGCCCCCAAGAGGCGCCCAGGACGCCCCAAGAGGCCCCCAAGAGGCCCCAATCGCGCCCTCCTCGCCATGAAGCGAAGGGGGTCCCGAGGGAAACGGGTCCTAGATCCAGGATTCGATTGGGGGGTCGACTACGGAAGTGATTTACCCCTAATTTTGTTCGCACGTCGAATACACAAGGAAATACCATAGAATGTTCGGCAGATCTGCGACACTTCCGCGCATTTGTTCCAGATCCGACGAAGATTCCGATTTTGGGGCAAATCAAGTCTGCAGTCGATCCCCTACTCGAAAGATGAATTTGGGAGCCGGCTGGGGTCTGAGGTGGCCCAGCACCAGTTCTGGCGAGCAGGCAGGGGGGATGTCCGAGGTTCTGGGTTCGAGAAGGTGTTTGCTTGCCTTGTCGGCCTCTGGGGGCTGTGTCCGGGCCCCGGGATCGCCAAAAACTGGGCCGGGGCTCGGCGGTCCCCGCGTAGAGCGATGAGGTCAAGCACGCTGGGCTTGGCACTTGCTCACAACCGCGTCGTCGGCTTTCTCCTTGGCACCCTTGCCCCGTAAACGAGGGGAAGAAGGAGGAGGAGGAGGATGAGGAGAGGAGGAGGAGGAGGAGGAGGAGGAGGAGGAAAGGGAGGAGGAAGGGAGGAAGAGGAAGCCTTCTCCTCCTCCTCCTCCTTCTTCCCTGGCTTGACTCTGTCACTCCTCCTCCTCCTCCTCCTCCTCTTCCTCCTCCTCCTCCTCCTCCTGAACCTCCTCTTCCTCCTCCTCCCCCTGGAGAAGCAGTCGGGCCAGACGGCGGCAACATCACGTCTCCACACGGTGGACACAAGGACGAACGAACGGAGTGCGTGGGCGAAGCCGTAGTATTGTCAATTCCGCTGGCACCCGACTGGTGGGGACAGGTGGTGAAACCGCGCGGATGTACTCACGTGTAAGATGTGTTCCCGAAGCAGAGGCACCGCTTTCCACTCGCCCAGAGTGCCAGGTGTCCCGTCGAAGTCCGCATGCCCGAGTGGGGCAAGTGACAGAGGCAGTAAGCCGTCGGCTGAGCTTCGCTCAAGAAGGCCAAGGCAGAGCTTGCCAAGGCTAAAGCCCTTCCTGACCAGCTTGCGATGTGCGTCGACTGAAGTGGTGTACAGCTCGAGGCTGAGGTGGAGTCGAAGCGTGCCAAGGAGCTGAGGCGACTGCTCGATGGCTACGAACATGTATCTGATTCATCAGGAGGGTGCGAAAGCTTCGCGAACAATACGCGCAGAGCTGGCTGAGCCCAAGCAGTTGGACCAGACGCCGCTTCCCGCGCAGATTCAAAGGATCTCGCGGCAGACCCACGGGCTTGAGCGCAAGGCCGTGGCCAAGCGCGAAGCCCTTGAGACGATCCGGGCCACGATGCGGGAGCTGCAGGCCCAGCGCCAAAAAGTCACAGGGGCGACGGGCTCTTCCCAGCAAGAGACTCTGGCGTTGGAGGCGCAGAGCACTGAAGGGGCGGGGCAGCTCCCCCAGCCAGCCACAGCCGTCGAAGCCGCCGAGGCGTCGCCGGAGGAGGCGCCTCCGAGCGTCCAGAGATGTCCTTCGACCAGACGGTGCAGGTCCTCGGCCGCCCCTTCGGCGCGGGCGAGCAAGTGGCGAGCGACAAGCGCAGGGCAGGAGGGCGAGTGCGTGCAGGCGGCGGCGCAGGCGCAGGCGCAGGCGCAGCACAAGGCAGCGCCGGAGAGGCAGAGGGCGGCGGCGGCGGCGGCAGCAGCCAGCGGCGCCGCCGCTGGCGGGGTTGCGCAGCCAGCGGCGCCGCCGCCGCAGCAGCCCCCGCAGCCTGGGCCTCACGCTGGAGGGCGAGCGGCTGGCCTGGTGCGACCCATCCCTGCAGGAGAAGGCGCTGTTGATCCCAAAGTCATTCGCGCCTTACGCCCGACCGTGGGCGCCTCGATGCCTGAGGGGGGGGGTCCCGACCTGCGCGAGGCGGCCAAGCGGAGCTGCTACGGCCTGCAGAGCTTCGCCAAGCGCCAGCGGGCGGGCCCGCACGCAGAGCAGCTACTGGTGAAGTCGCGAGTCAGGGTCCTTGTCCTGATGATGAGGATGATGATGATGATGAGGAGGAGGAGGAGGAGGAGGAGGAGTAGGACGGTGATGATGATGATGATGATGATGATGATGATGACGAGGAGGAGGACGGTGATGACGAAGATGACGACTATACTGATGATGATAATGGTGATGGTGATGATGATGAAGATAAGGATGATGATGATGATGATGATGATGATGATGAGGACGGTGATGACGAAGATGAAGACTATAATGATGATGATGATGATGGTGATGGTGATGGTGATGGTGATGATGATGATGATGATGATGATGATGATGATGATGATGATGATGATGATGATGGTGGTGGTGGTGGTGACGATGGTGACGATGGTGACGATGATGACGACGACGACGACCACCATCGGAAAGCAGAGTACGGAGGCTATGGGGGGCGAACGCAAGTCCCAGGTGGCACCGCTTCGGCGCAGCGCCCAGCGCAACACGTCGACAAAGATTTGCGCGGCGTTAGATCGCAAGTTTCAGGCACCACAGCTTCGCTGCAGTGCCCTGGGCTCAGCGTTATGCCGGGCCGCTGGCAGCACAGCGCAGCAGAAGGTGGAGGTTGGGCCAGCGACCTCGGCGTCCGAGGACTTCCCCTGCGCGGGGGCGTAAGGAAGCAGAGGACCGCCTAGCGGTCAGAGCGCCTCCCCGCAGGGGCCTCGGCTCCCTCAAGCAGGCGCGCAGTCGGCCAGGACCCGCTGGAGAGGCAACTGACAGTGCGAAGCGTGCTGCAACCTCAAAGGGGGTCACTCAGAACGGGGCCCCTCGACGGTACCTCGGGGGCCCCGGCCAGGCGATGGAGGCGGCGCTTCCGCGGCTGCCGGAAGCGCGGGGCCTCACTGCCCAGCAGAGTCGCCGCCAGCTGCAGCTGTGGCTCCTCAGGACAAGGCTTGCGTCACCACCGCGAACGCGTCCTCCTACGGCGAGCTGGAGGGGCTGCTGGCGAGCGGTAGGGTCGACAGCGGCGTGGTGCTGGTCCAGGAGCACAACGCTGGCATCGGAAAGGTGGAGCGCTTGGCAGAGGCCCCGGATACTTGGCCAGAACGGTGTCTGGCACGAGGCTGTGCAGCCTGCGAATGGTGGCACGCATGGCGGCTGCGCTGGTATTTCCCAGACTGGCAGTCAAGTCACAGCGGCCCCTTGTCATGACTCGGGCTGCTTGGTTCCTGGCAGGGCGTCGGCTGGCCGCGCGCATTTGGGCCCGGCTGGCGGGCTCGCGGCTGTCTCGGCGCAACTGCGCTACACGGTCGGTTTGGACGTCGCGAACATCGAGATCTTGCGCGCGGTTGGACGCCACAGCCTCGGTCTTGCAAGTAGAGGCGATGCGTGTATGTTGGGCGGCGACGACTTAAACATGCCCCCCGGGGAGCCGGAGTCGCGGTTCAACTCTGTGGGGGCGGTGTTGCTGTCCACGTGGGCGACCACCTGCATGCAGGAGCTGCCAGAGTCCAAGTTCGACTATTCCAGAGGCCACGCGAGATTGTTGTGCTGGACCCAGACCCCAGACGTGTTCGAGCGCTATCACGTACCCGCGCAAGCCTGTCATGACGCTGCTCCTCGCGAGTGACCGACCGCTGTGGTGCAAAGATGTTATGAAGCCCGAAGGCGTTCGAGGCAATGGCGTCGCTTGGATGCTCCAGGTTCCCAGCGCAGCCTTGGGGCGGGGTGCAAGATGGCACGATCGGCTACGGAAGGTGTGCCAGCTTTGGGAAGACCTGCTTCAAGGCATCGAGCGCGAGCTCTGTGGGCGATATGGCATAGTGGGTGACGCGTGCCGCACTCAGATCGGACGCGCTGGACCTCGTCGCCTGCTGTGGCAGAAGCTGTCCTGGCATCCTCCTCGACATCGGCCACCTGTCCGAGGTACTCTCGCGGATGCGTGGAAGGTGGCGTCGTGCTGGGCACGGCACCTGCATGGGGTTTGCGAGTGCATCATCAACAGGATCCCCTGGATCATGGCCAACAGGGGGTCTGGTTCGGACGCTGTGGTGCGAGACCGAGACGTTCT